TGTGAAGATCATCAATGCAAAGAAACGTACATCGGGGAGACCAGTCAGCCGCTCAAGGAAAGATATAAGCAACACTGCAGGGCCAGTAACAGTGGATTTTCTTCGGCCATATGGCACCATCTGGACAAACATAAAGGACATTCTTTTCATCTTGAATCAACGGACATCTTGGACCGGGAGGCGCGCTGGTTTGAGCGTGGAGTCAAGGAGGCGATTTATGAAAGACTTTATAAACCATCACTCAACAGGAAGGGAGGACTTAATGTTGAACTTTCAAGTACATGGGATTCTACTTTACAGCATATCTAGGGACTCACTTATCTTTATCATTACATTAGTTAATACTTTACCATGTGTATTGTATATAGAATCTATAGAACGCTTGTTGCTAACTTATTATTTGTTTATTTAGAACATAAATACTTTTAGAATTAACGGTGCCGTTCCGAGTTCTACCGCAATTTTGAATATTTCACTGAAGAAAGATGCCGGACGGCGTCTGAAACGTCTGACATTATTTTCTTATTTTATCCAGAAGTAAAGATTCAAACTTTTCTTATGAGTACTTGTATGTTTATCATCATACTCTTGGCAGCCTTCGTAAAAAGTAGTTTTGTAAATAAAGCGAGGTTGGTGAGTGTTTTCTGTTTGAAATTAGGTCACTTATACAAGGTGTGAAATTCTTGTGTTTTTCTAGTAAAAGAGGGAAGCATGTGCTCTCTTCATAGGTATACCATCTGTCAGTGACAAGAGCAAAACAACTAGCAAGTTCTCAATACAATTCAACAAATGCTGTTGTATATATATATATTAAGTGAAGAATTTTAATTTTTCTAGATTCTGTTGCCAACGAAGGTGAAAACACCAACGGGGCATGTTAACAAATGTAGGGAAGTGCCAGGCTTGTTTTCGTGCGGAGTGGACGCTTTCCTGGACTGTTACTATTATGGAATCTTCAGCAATAACTTTTCTGGTCTCTCATCTCTCAACACTGGCCCTTTCCTGTCTTCTGTTCACAACTCCTGTCTCACTCGCACACCTACAACATCACCTGCACAACTAAGTATCTCCAGAGAAGGTCCCTGGGGGATTCTGGTCAAGAAAACCAAGAGCTTTGCCCCTAAAGGTACAGATCTTGCTGAAGTCCATGAGGCATTTGAACTAATGGCGGAAACCAAAGAAGAGCAATTATACTTCATGACACAGTCTGACTACAAGGCCTCTTGCATTTCATGCAATGATACCATCTCACTCCAGCGAGAAGATGTGCTCACCTACCTCAACTATGACCATTTCCGTCAATATGGGTACAGTATGAATATGGCATTGCAGGGATACATCCTGCACCCTGAAGTGGGAGTGAAACGTTGCAAGAACTGTAAGACGAGGAGTATGCAGGTTCAGTTGACAGATTTCAAAGTAAAGCTCCCCAACATCCTGGTTGTTGTATTGCCCCAGTGTCATCCAGTTCGCCCCTGTTCCCCCATTGACTTAACAAGTGACTCGCCAACAACAATCCACGAGCACACAGCTCCACCACGGCCAGGTGAGAGAGAAATGATACCAGGAGTGGTGGTGGAAGAGCGCCTTACCATCTTCAACAAACCATACATCCTGACAGGTGCAATCAAGACCGCCCCTGGCCATTTCAGTGCAGTTGTCAACTATTGCAACATGTTCTGGGAGCTGGACGATCTTGGCTGTCAAACAAAATGTGCTCATTCCCTTGCTGACTTGGAAGGAAAACCATCTCCATACCGGACACAGAAATCAGACCATATTTCCACATTCATATATCATGCAGAAGAATCCATAAAGCCAATGACATTTGTAAAACTGCCAGCAAGACAAAGCCAGCCACCTAAAAGGCCACCAGCACCTGTTCTAGTTGGCAGTTTACCTGTAGCCCCGACATACGCGACAGTGGTACAGAGGCTCAGCCAGCACGGTAGAGTCCCTTCAGCACCTGTGCTACTCAGGAAGGCAAGTGTACCTGTAGGCCAGCCAGCATCTGTGCTACACAGCAAGGCAAGTGTACCTGTAGGCCAGCCAGCACCTGTGCTACACAGCAAGGCAAGTGTACCTGTAAGCCAGCCAGCATCTGTGCTACACAGCAAGGCAAGTGTACCTGTAAGCCAGTCAGCTTCT